AAATAAGAAGTATTTAGCTCCATGTGGTCATGATGATGACCTCCCACCACAAATTGAGGTAAATGGAAAATCTGAAACCACAGTTCAGGGAGCACCATTGACCATGGGGACTGAAAAGCAAAATGTGGTACACAGACCCCAGCCTGAATCATCTACTCTGCAAGAATCAAACTTTACTGAATATAGAACCAGATCAGGCAGAGTCATTAAACCTCCCAAGAGATTAGATTTGTAATTCTTTTGACTTGCAATTACTGTATTTCTTCAGATAGTTTCGATTTTTGCCAGCCTTATTGGCATTAATGTGTTGTATTTTTGAAGTTGTTCGCATTGTACTGAAATTGTACTTTATGGTGAGTTTGACTTGTAAGGGGGATGTTGTGTTAGCTATTTATAGCCTCGGGGTGCTTCGGGTTAACTCGGGGTACTTCGTGGGGTTGACGCAGACGACGTTGTAACATTTGTTAGTTACCGATAATAAATCTGGATATTCACCATTATCCTGGAAGTGATCTGAGTTATTTGATAACACTACATTTTTGGACCGTCAACTCAGTTTAGATTTCATCGTTGTTTACAACGCATTTCAGGTCACAGTGACATGACCGGGTAATCAACAGACCACGATCGATTGAAAATTAACGGTACACGCAGTCGTGGTGGTCAGCAACTAATAATAATATGCGTTCGCAAGTGGAGCACATTAATCGATTTCTCGCCGTAACAACAAACATTCCGAATGACAGATTGACCTGTTCACCGGTTTATCAGGAATCGATGTGTTATCGGCTGTTATCGCGTAATGGTCAAAGTCGTACTGGCTTAACGTCGCGATAACGACCTACAGAGGTCATAGCAGTCATCTGGAACTATCCTGCGAACATAGAAAACACAAACAATAGTTTACCTCCATTTTAGTGAGTTCCAAACGTCAAAATAAACAGCAGTTCTTCAACAACCAAGATACATCGCCATGTTAGTCTACTGGGCATGCGTAATTACCAGCCGCAATTCGTCAGTGTCAATTTTTTCAGCAAATTGTCGCAAAAACGCTGTTCAACGCCCTAAGTTGTTGTCTTGGCGACAGGGCGAGGCCCCCGGGAGAGGCGTGTAATCACATTTTAACAAGGATACAATGCTTCTTTCAACGTGCACTCTGGGATTGTTCATACTACATGGACCAGGCGATCATGATATGACTGTCCAGGATCTGTAAAAACAATATTCACTGAAAAATATGCGATTTTCTGCCAATGTGTATACCCCATGCAGACGTTACACGTGTCTATGCGCACCATTCGCTAATGTACGTCCTGGAAGATTGATGGTAACCTCGGGTTTTCCAGTAATTCACCTTTGGGGTGGACAAAGAATTATACATGCATAATAACATGCAATGAATGACATGAAACTCTGCAACTTTCTAGCAACGAAGTTAACAATGGTGTTTCGGTGAATTTATGTCTTCCTTTCTTTTCAATGTTTATATAAGAGCTTCAAAACCCAATATAATATCGTTGTTACCTGGGTAGTAATGTAAATACATTATTTATTAATTTATTGATGTTTATTTTTTATCCGTTGTCACACTGCACGTGCATTGGAAAAAAAACCCACCCATGGACACACATGTAACAATTCTAAGAAAGCCTTACCCCTTATTACAAAGTATATACTGTCAGTTATAGTATAATTTATTTGACCTGAAATAATCATATAGTGAATACATAAACTATGGATCAACTGAACACAACACAAGCAGGTATACGCTAGTTCAAAATCATGGTGAACTGAAAATGTCAAAAAAGGACCCCTTGTGCCCACTGTGAAACATAATTTACAGATCTCTTCGAGTGGTTACACTCCTTGAGACAGGGCTGCTTTGGGGGAGTTGTACAACGCACTGTAGTTGCATTATTAATTGTTTTGCTATTGGGCAAAATCTGACGGCACCAATTCTGACCACCAAATGTCAAAAAGGGTTTGCTTGACATTGTGGGTGCTATTACCAGCAAACTGCTTGGCGTTTCTACGGATAAACAGTTGAAAACGCTGTCATGTTTCGTTTCTAAAGTACTAACATAATCTTTTTCGAGCCTCGATCTCGATATTCGGAAGTAACTGACTGAAGAATTCCAAATTTATAGAAATCATAACACTTTATGCTTTCAAATTCATCCCTTTTTTGTGCACTTAGCTTTTTATTTGACAGATACACATGTGTTATAAAATTCATTGCAAACTAAGGCACTTGCATCGCTCATAGCAAAGTTATTGAAACGTTAAACAATTATATTTTTAAATGTCCACGTATTTAACGGCATGCATGACTTAATTAATGGCCTGTTACCGTGAAACATCCCGAGGTCGGATGGGATGTGAGTTAAATTAATTGAGGGGACGTGCTATTGATTCATGGTGTAAATGAGTTCTTATTTACCAGATCAATATGTATCAATGTGTAAAAATCTGCTAGACTTTAGCGGTTATGGTTAGTTGTTTTACAATAAATATGAATCTCTATGCAAGAATGGAGAGGGGAAATGGGGACTTATAGTAGTTTCATTATTATTAGAACTTTTCTCGCGTGTTATTGTTTTAATCACCACCGCCCCGCGCGAACAGTTGAAAACTGGGTGCTTTTTGACTAAAAAAAATATTTTTTGATAAAATGACGCGGTTCTTTGCTATTTTTACTTTACGTTAACGATGTTAACACCTATACTAATGTCTTCTATTTCCGACTGTTTGCTGATGATACTAATTTATTTAACAATATTAATCCTGAGTTTGATAAAGTTGTAGACTGGTGTAAAGCAAATAAACTCACAATTAACACTGAGAAAACTAACTACATAATAATAAAACCTGCCCAAAAAATAACGTCCAAGTTGATGGCTGCCTAGAAATCGACAACTCGCCGATAGAGGGCGTTTCCAGTGTAACCTATCTGGGAGTCAACATTAATCCTTCAATGTCATGGAATTCACACATTAACAAAATTACTAACACCGTCATTCACCTCACATATCAGACAGTATGTCCCAAGGTATATTCTTGTTCTCTTGTATAATACTCTAATTCTCCCTCATTTAACATACTGCATTGAAATTTGGGGTAACACTTATTCGACTTTTGGAACCACTCTTGCGCCTACAAATTATTCCGTCTCATTACTTTTTCAGATTTTCACGCACACTCTGTCCCATTGTTTCGTTCTCTTAAAATTATTGACATCTACCAGCTTTGTAAATTTCACTCTTGTTTAAACATTTTCGATTTAGGGAAAAGTCGTTTTGCATGCGGCCATTACTGTGACAACCCTTCTCACAATCACTCTACTCAACTATCTTTTAGTGGTAATCTATGTCTTCCCACAACCAATCTAACTGTTTCTCAACATAACCTGAAATTTGCTTCTGTGAAACATTGGAATTCATTAAGTTCACAATTAGGAAATCCTGCATTAAAAAGATAAGAGTTTAAATCAAAATTAAAAGAGTTTATTCTTTCAAACTAATTTATTTATATTGATAATATGTGTATGTAATTTAATTGATTTTTTTATTCTTTATCGTTTCACATTATATTGTGTACATATTTGATGTTACCTGCATTGATACATATTTCTTTAATAGACCACTTCCTCATTGAAATAATTTATTTTATCAAGTCACGGTCACAGACTAGACTAGCTCCTCAGAGCTATTTCCCATTACATTTTTTCTTGCACTATTATGTTATACATCTTTGGTAATTGACTGTTATTAGTTCGGCTTTCTTTTACTTGAAATTTAGGCTGAATTATCAAATACAACTGCAATACAAATAGAAATACAAACTACTTTTACTCAAGCACGTGAAATTTCAAGGTCACACTTGTCATATCGCGCATCCGACACTGTGTCCTTAGATGTGCACTAACTTTTTAATCCTCTCCCGCATTTAACTTACACTGTATACAAATTTGGGAAAATACTCATCTGGGCCCAGTTGGGCCTATTTTTCGTCTCTGGAGTTCACATCCCCCAGCCACTTAAAAATTGACACAACAGAAATGCTTTTAAGACAGGTCAGAAAAATGCTTTCTCAAGCTCCAGTTGACTATTTTATGTATTTAAAGTTTTGACAATATCACGTTTTTATTTCTAATATAGATATATTTGTTTTGGTCTATTTGTGTGCAGTGTTTTTTTTTGCTTTTATAGAAAATAAATAGCGATGTCCTTGTAAAAAGATGTTTTAACTTTATCATTAAATTTGATTCACAAATTACATCGGGCCATGCGATTGACTAGTTTAGTTCTAATGACTTATTTCCATCATGATGGCCCTCTCCAGTTTGTTTTTAATTCTGTATGTTGTAACAACAATTTCATTTCCGATGAAATAAATTATTCATTCAGTCTTCAATTGTAGGAGTACCCCGGGCTGCAGGTTACCATCATACGCCTTCCCAGTTTCCAAGTTGTTGTATAAAGCGCCCTCTAATGCCACTCCAACCAATAGTTTCTTTAAAAGGGCAACTTCCAATCGCCACTAATAAACACTTAAAAACGACCGGACAGTCTGCTACAATTGCTAAAATGAACTTAAAGTTCGTAATAATAAATTAAAACAAAATACACGCAGTCGAACCGTAACATGTTAGTATGGTACCACAAACATTTGTCACGTGAATCACTGATAGTCTAAAACATCAACCGCTAAGATAGAGTCTTACCCATGAAGGAAATAACCAAGAATTCGTCTATTTCGCAATAAATTGTGCACTGATCAAAGAATTTCGATTTCTAAAGAATGGCAGCTATTTTAGCAGTAACACTAAAACGTGTTTTTGCCATTGAATTATGTGATGAAGATATTATGTCACATCTCACACGATGTAATTATTTATTGTGAATGATTTTTGAATCACATTGTAATTATTTCAACATTTTCAAAAGTGAAAAATGCATTTTACTTCAACGTTGTATTCTTCGGATAACAATTTTTGAATAGTCTTTGACTCAGTAAAATAATGCTGTTACCATGGTAATATGAATGAATTTGACACTCGTAAGAGGACAATTTTGACAAAATTTAGAATTAGTAACCATAACTTAGCAATAGAGGAAGGCAGATATTCATTTCCTAAGAAACCTATAAACAAAAGAATATGCAATAACTGTGACACAAATTCAATTGAAGATGAATAACATTTTCTATTGAATTGCCTAAAATATAACACGCACAGAAAAAACTTCATCCAAAAAATCATGACACTACTTTCATCCAAAAATAAAAATATACAGTTCACATATATACTCTCAAGCAAAGATCCTGGCATAATTATAGAACTTGCCAATTATATTTACACAACAAAAAGATTTATTTAACATTTAAATACTAGTTACATTCTTTTGTAAAAGAAAAAATACTCTTTTTTGCTGTACTTATCCTATGTAAATATTTTTACATGGAGGCAATACAGTTATTATTATAATTATTATTATTATTATTATTATTATTATTATTATTATTATTATTATTATTATTATTATACTAGCTCAATGGATGTACACGTCACAGTTTTGAACTAAGACTAAATACAAGGAAAAAAAGGTTTACAAAAAATGAAAGGACCTTCAGATAAATTGTAAACGTTTTCCGTGTACATGGGACGAGTTGGAAGTTATAGATGACACAGCCTGTTGCAGTTTACAACGTAAAATGTGTTACAATCACTAAAGCGGATTACGTTAAAACCACAACGCTGTTGGTCAGTGAGCTCACCAATCACATAGGCGGAGTCACATTTCACCGTGAGTACGCGTTCCACGCAGGCGTGCATGCATAATGAGCTTGTATTGTCGCACTGAAACCACTGGAAACACTAAACGGGACAACCTTAGCGATATTTAAGCCGTGAATCTATTACTCAAGCGTGATATTTCATAACTGTTCACCGATTTGTATAGGTAAGTGAACGTTTAAACTCGTATAAATTAATACTTTTAACCATATGACTGTTTTTATACAGCGCTGCGGACTCCTTCGTCATTGATTGAATAATTGAATTCGCTGCGAGTGAAATGCCTCTGTTGTGATTGTCAGTACACACTGGACGCAGTATGTCTGCATTTGACGGCTCATAGTTACACCCGATTTTATAAGTTTTATTTCACTCCCCCTATTTGTCGCTTGAACACGCCAATTATTCAAGTAATTGCGTTATTACGGCGTAGAGCGCGAACGCGTTGTGTATTAATCGCACCTTTCAATGCGTGCCTCTAGCAACCATTTGTTTACCTGTTGTTGGATGACCTTTAACAAATGCTAGCAATACAGGCATGGCTTTAGTAGACACATACGCAGAGTATGGCACCTGGCGCTTTCTTTTTGCCTGGGTGGAACAGAAGAACGTCCCTCCCAGAACTCCCAGCGTTAAAGATGTAGTGTCAACTGGATGGTGCAAATGAACGCCCCTCGGGGTAGAGGGGTGTTCAGGCCGGGGGTTGTCAATGTACGTGTGTGAACAGGGTGGAGCAGACTATAATCATGACGTATTAATATATATGACCACATACCACTCATTTTAAAAATACTGATGTAGAAAAGTACTACTTGCTTTAATATTATATTGTCGACTATAGTTACATGTAATATTAGGGCACAATACTATCAACTATCCAATCCTGAAATCAAATTTAGAGAAATGCTGCTAGTAAAATAAATAACATGACCTTGAGTGAATTACTACAGTCTTCTTTTTTAGCTCCATGCTACAATGAAAATTACATTTGATTTGTTTATTTATAATCACCATGACCTTCAGCACAGACTAGATTTATATTTTAGCAAAACCAATTAATTTTATCATTATTCATGGTACCGGTAATCACAATTATTAATGGAAGGTATTCTGCATCTAATACAAAGTGGAAATGTAACTTGAATTCAATAGAAGGATTGACATGTTAAAAACAGTGAATCCATTAAATATGTGAAAGAGATGTTTTTTACAACAATCATAACAACCTTAAATCTACCCTAAACACAAAGGGAAGGAGGGAAGACAGTTTATTTCTTTTCTTATTTTTGTTTGATTGATCTATTCTTTGCCAGAGTCATTCATGATCAGTGTTCAAGTTCAAGAGATGTTTTTTGTTGAGCTTTGGTCTACAAGTTCCCAAGTGGTGATCTTTTCTAGCCTTTGAGAATTGAAATATTTGATTCAAAGTCATAGATATCGCTATGGCTACCATTTATGCTCTATGAATAGCACACATATTGGTGTAAATGACCTGTAACAAAGCACACATGTTAATTTTTTTACACATGCATGTTCAATCCACTGCATAAATCAAACTTATCATGCATATGTATTCTATTTGCTTTATTAATAGTGCATCAATCCTTGTAAACAAGTATCTATAATCAAAATAAGTCAAATTTTTATAATTCAGCTTACAATTTTGATTTATGTGCACTTCTATTCTAAATGCATTTCTAATAGAACAAACATATTACATTGTGTAATTATAAATTAAGCTGAATGCATACATCCTGAACATTAATAGAGAATGTTGCTGTATCCTTGGTAACCATACATAATTATTGTGATGATGTAGCAATCAAACTTAATTACTTAACCCTGCATTTGATGTTTCTTGCAGGTTGTGTCAACAATGAATCTGAGTGAATTGAGACGAGAAACCGCCAATTTCCAAGCGCGGTACAGGGTTTTGCAACAACAACAGTTTACCTTTGTATATGCCTTGGATAATTGTAGAACAGATTCATATGAAAGAACTCGGCCAGTTAGATGTATCGCTACGGTGAGTATATCAATAAAAATTACTCATAGTGCCAATTTAAGCACAGCCTGAAAAGAGGACATAGGCTTGGTCTATCTGTATGTGTGTTTGTATGTTACCAGCATTTTCTCAGAAGATCAATAACAGAGTATCAGTGAATAAAAATTATATAGGTGTCTTAAACTAAGAAACTTGAAACTAACAACACATATTTCACACAATTTTCACAAAAAATATAAAGGTAAGACAAATAATCATGGATTCAAGATTCAGTTCTCATAATGAAAGCTATTGGAATAATATATAATTAAATAAATTGTGCATTTAACATAAATAAATGTATTTGAAATGTGGTGAATAATGATTTCCAAAAGTTAATACTGGAATCATCTGATGAAGTTATAAATGCAACATTCCAAAATGAGGCTTACTAGTATTGGCAGTAAGTTGCATCCAAGTGTAGTTACACAATATGAATCTGGAAATAACTGTATTACCTCATGTGATTTCAACTGTATGATCATTGTATCTCCAGTTTTTATTCTCTTATACCATTTGGACAGAGTGTAGATTCATTCACAATTTGCAGATGAACACAATGTAACATGTATTGCACGAGTACTGGTATTTTAAATCAAATGACAGGGATTGTGACATTCATGTCTTGTTTGATTACTAAATTATCTACCACAAATGTATGTATACAATCGTCTTGTACTACATACACAATACCTAGTCAAAACCACCATCTACCGGTACTCTTTTTATATCCACTGCATTTTTTTTGCATTTTAGTTTTGTTAGTACCACAATGTTCTCTTACATGAAAAGAAATCTGTACTTCACTGTATTCTGTGTCTAAATCTTTGTATAATAATTCTTTAAAAAACACTTTATAAAACTAGTAAATTACTACTGTGAAAAGCTGCGGCATCTATTAAAATGCTACAATGCAACAGAGTGTGGCTTCTATTTGAGCATCTATACATAAATGTATGAGAAATGGTGAATTTTTGGGTCTCAATTGTTCAAAAATGGTACTACTCTGTGAAGAAGCATAAAATTGTATACTTTTACTGGTTTAGTCAACTGATCTTTTTCTAGTACTGTAGAATACTTTATTTCCGCTTGGAATTTATTTTCGCTGAAGGGATGATTCCGTGAAAATAAAATCCAGCGAAATATACTTTTTTTCCTACATTAAACTCATCAAAAAACAGTGAAAATAAATTCTATACAAAATGCCCAAAAAGCCTTTTCAGCGAAAATTAATTCCAGCGAAAATAAAGTATTCCACAGTAAAAGACAAACTTCCTCTTTATGTTAGACTTGAAACAATCAATTGTTTGTGCACAACATGTTTTTGTTTTGTTTATTACATGCCTTCATCCGACTACCAATCAAACACACACTTTAGAATAGGAACATTCAGGGATTTTTGAGGTCCAGTGAGCCATGTACGGACCATCGTCAATAGCAACAGAGAGGTCCAATGATCAAAGAAATTCCCGGAACTACTTTCGTTTGCCTGGAGAAAATTTATATAAAAGTAAAAAGGACAATCATGATGATGTTATTATAGTATAACTGATAATATCTGTCATTATGTTGCCACAAAGAACAAATCAATTGACTACTACTGTAAAATCTGTATTAGTAGCCGCGGCTTCTATTAAAATGGTACAATGCAACAGAGGGGATGTGACGTCTATTAAAGCATCTTCACATATGAGAAATGATGAATTTTTGGGTCTCAATTATTCAATAAGAATGGGTGCGACTTCTATTAGGGATGCGGCTTCTAATACAGATTTTACGGTACTATATTGCCCTGATAAGTGACTTAAATTCTTGTCTTATTAACGTTGTATACTAATGTTGATATGATCTGACACCTCAGGTTAAAGAATACATGCAGCGTAGTCACAATGCTACTGATAAGCGAGCCATGAGACAGTGGTTAGACTTCTTACAAGATTTGGATGCTTTCAGACGAAAGCTTGATGCAGAAGGAGAAATGAATGGTCCACTAGGTCAAGCTATGGACAAGTGGAAAATGTTATTGAATCCAAGTAATGATATGTCATCATTGAGAGTTAAATATCCACATCAAGAAGTAAGTATACAAAAACCTGCTACTATATTTGCTCTGTTAGTAGTGTATACACATTTACGTGAATAATGGTACATTTGTCAAAATAAATCATATTTTTATAATCCAATACACACTAAATCAATCTGATTTAAATCCAATGGAGGTGCAGGCTCCAATTTTTTGTTTAATTTATATATTTTTGTTGTTGTTTATATTTATGCTTTTTTTGGTTTATTTTGCCAAAAATAAGCATTTCTTTTATATCATGTCCGTGGGAAATGTGAGGTCACATGTTATTTATTAGCTGAGCTATGATGTCATATACTATGACAAAATCTATTAGTTTAAATTCAAAATTGATGCAAGTTTTTGTTACAAGAATGCTGATTGATGGATCCAACTCCTTTGCACGCCCAATCAAATCATTCAATTTAAAACTGAGGTCAAATACAGCTTTTCCTAAAGTTGTGGGGATGGCCAAGCATGATCGGTCTTAGTGTAACAAATTGGACCATGAATTTATTTATTGAATGAGACAAGACACAAAGCCCATTCTGATGAAATATACCAATACAATCTCTGTCTAGGTGAATCATCTAAGTTGTGATGAAGCCCGTAATTACTATGGCGGCGCTGTGAGTCTAATCCCCACCATCCTTGATGTACTTGGAGTTGTACAGAGTCAGGTAGCGATGTGCTGTGCTAATGGTACCTGGCCACCCATTAAAGACAAGTCGTTTAGAGCATCCAGTGCAATGAATAGACGATCACAAATGGAAGGTAGGAGTAAATACAACTATAATGACCATCTTCGTGTATTCTGATATGCATAATGGGCAAATAGTTTAACGATGCATACTGCCCAACATTTTTTAATGTATGTTGTACCAGAAGATTATCCAAAGATTCTTGGTAGCCATGTGGTTCAATAACTACAGAATAAATAAATATTTCCCATATTGGCAAGCTCATCTCTTTATTATTCAGTCATTCAAAAATTGCCCTTGTGAACTGGAGCTAAGTATACGTTTCAGAATTGGCACACAAAGTTTAATGTTATAGAACACCTATACCAGTACATCAAGTTGCACATAGTGATATTATATTCCATCATGGATTGGTATAGATTGGGACAAAGCTCTTGTGGTAAACACTTGTATTTCATGGTATTGGGATGCCCCATGGCTAATTAAATGTCTTTTATTTGCAGGAGAATTGTTAGGTCGTTCCCAATCTTCAATGGATAAGTCAGTGGACACCCGAGACCTACGGAAAAGTATGGGTGACATGGCAACAAAGTGTAAACCAAAGAGATATGGTGGTCCCAAATATGACCTCGGTGACACAGCTTTCTATAGAAGAACTCTGAATGGAAGAGTGGATGAGATAAAATTGAAACCAGTCAAGAAGGTACCTTGGCGTGGAGCTTCCAAAGATAATATCAACCACGTGGAGCATAGAAGATTTAGAGATATCAAAGATAGAGAATAATTTCAACATTTGTAGTCTATAGTTCAAACATATTCTCAGTTTCTTGTCCTAGCTCGTTGTGGAAATTGTCACTGCTCGGAATTTTCATGTTTCAAGGATTCAACAGCATCTGTGATATCGTTTCATGAAAGTTGCTGCAACTGTGTCGCTGTGTCTTTAGAATCCCTATTTATCAGTTACAAAACTTACAAAATACAATCAAATTTTTCTTTTGTGTTTAATATTAAACACGGTTTCAAGTTTTCATAACACAGTAGTATGTGGATGAAAACCTGATTGTAGGCATTATGACCTTGTTAGATTTCAGTTTCGATTATTAATCCTGAATTGAAAGTGGTGTGAATTGAAAATGAACATTGGCAAAGTGGTTTTTGATTTTTGTTATTAATACCACAGTTAAAGACTGGACTCGACATTGCTAGCACTGGCCTGGGTAGATCCCAACAGACAATTTTCTGAATCTACAAATAAAAATTGTTGAATCTTTGATGGAGATTATCAAGGACGTAGTCTGCACTTTATTTTAAAACTCAGCTTGACTTAATATGTAAATAATGTACATAATGCTTTTTAATTACAGGAATTGATGTGGCTTGGAGTAAAGAAAGCACAAACTATCTTCTAAATACATGTGGTTTATATATACATGTACATTTATGTGCCATAAAATTGTCCAAATAATTGTTTCACCTCTAGTAAATGTATCAACATTGAATTTTTTTTATAGTATATATCTAAGTTTTAGTTATAAAGGTCTATTTGTATTCAAGCTGGGAATAATACCCATATCAAGTGATATTTTTGTTAAGGTTTCTTTTCTTTCATTTTGATTACAAATACTAATACAGACATTTACCCAACAGCACTTTTAGTTTGTAAGAGGACACATAACAATGTACAGTGAAAGGGACAAAACTAGGACTTTCCTTATAAATGTATTTATAAAAAAATGTGAAAGCCGATCATCAACTTTCATTCAAATATTCAATAGTGATTTGCTCAAGAGCTAAACATTGTCTACGCCCATAATGCACTGCATGCCTTCACACGACTGCAAATGCCCAAATATTAAAAGAGGCACTTGTCAATTGAATGATGAACTATTTCAGTAATATTTACTAAATCTAACCTTGATGTCAGAATGCCATTCCTACCATCCAACCCGAGTTTGATTAATAAAAAAAATGTATATTTATAAAATGTTAATGACCACAGCCTCATGCCCTTCACTGTATTGTACTCTTTCAAATAAACATGCACCCAGATATTTTATAGATGTATCATTTTTTTTTATTGTAAAACTTGTATAGTATAGGTGTATATATTGATGTGATCATTTTGCTTGAAATGCAATAGAGAATCAAAGGGTTGACGAGGGTCGAGTGATTACCATAGCAACAGTGCCTTGATTAATGTCTTTAGAATATTTGTGGATAGACTTAATGATTGTAGATTTGCTCATTTTATCACAAGATTATTCTACATTTAATCCCTAATCCCTGTATTTTCTTTGTACAGAATAAAAAGCGTTGTATATCAATGTCGCATTTGTATGGGTTGGAGCTACGTCATAGAATGTTCTGTGTTGCTAATGCGTGCGCAACACTGTACCATGTATTTATGTTGAGTCCCAACAACAATCCCAAAGTACAGTTTTTTGAGTTTTCGGCTTTTGTTTTCACCGTGATGGTGAAAATGCCTGGATGTCCTCTCCCAAGGACATTTCCCTGAAATTATTGGGCTTATGAAAGATTCATGGATGAACCAGATTTTCCCGTTACAAGCTCAAATCTGTTTTGAAAGCGTTGATTTGTAAACTAAGAATAAAATAGAAAATTGGCAGTACAGGTTGTATCCAGAATACAAATTCTTGCAACGAATAGTAACTGTACCATTGTCATCTTTGCACAACGGAAGAAAGCGCAATTGTTAAGAAGATGGCAACGCCCTTCCATTGTTATGGGCTGACTATATATAGAATGATCACATATGCAGTGATTTAACCCTTATCCTGTCAGACTAATGTACTTTTACATTGACATGACCAGATGAGTGTTAACCCTTATCCTGTCAGACTAATGTACTTTTACATTGACATGACCAGATGAGTGTTAACCCTTATCCTGTCAGACTAATGTACTTTTACATTGACATGACCAGATGAGTGTTAACCCTTATCCTGTCAGACTAATGTACTTTTACATTGACATGACCAGATGAGTGTTAACCCTTATCCTGTCAGACTAATGTACTTTTACATTGACATGACCAGATGAGTGTTAACCCTTATCCTGTCAGACTAATGTACTTTTACATTGACATGACCAGATGAGTGTTAACCCTTATCCTGTCAGACTAATGTACTTTTA